CGACATGCATTGGAGAGGGAATAAGCTTCATAATGTCTAATTTTATGAGGTGGCAACATTTACGTGCACTAGACTACCATGCATTGTGGATGCTCTAAGTGAGTAACTGTCGTTCTAAACAACGAGCATGTATAGTCCCTAAATTATCAACATCATATGGTTTTGGTCTTTGAACTAATAAATCTATCATTTTAGTCCCTAATCTATTTACTCCAAATTAATTCAGTCCTTCTGTTAATATTTTGACATTAAAAAAACGGAATGTGTTAATAAGTTAGTTCATGTATGTGTAAATCAACATACTTATTAAACAAAATATAACTAATAAATTTTCTGATTTAATTAATATCTAAATAAATTAGAATGAAAATTACTTTAAAATCATAATACTCCGTATAACGCATTGGATAAAGTTATAATTTAATAATATACTATGCATAATTTAGAATGCTTTTATTTGGACTGGTGAATCTTTGGTCTCTGCGTATTTTATAAGAGCATCTCCAATGGTAAAATGTGCACGGTGCACACGTGGCTTGAGAAATAGCCACATAAATATTAATAAATAAATTCTTTCTCTCCTTATTTGAATGATTTTATACGGTTTTGGTAAATTTTTCTCCACAATGTCAAGGAGACCGTCTAGATGTTGACATTGTTGTTGACATTGCAGGGAAAAACTTACCAAAATTGTATAAAATCATTCAAATAAGGAGAGAGATAATTTATTTGCTAATATTTATGTGGCTATCACTCATGCCACATGTGCACCGTGCACATTATATCATTGGAGATGCTCTAAGTGTGTAAGGATGTTTTCTTTTAGAGTGAAATTTGCTGGTCTGGTCTGGGCTAGTCTGTTTAAGTTTGTTCTGGTCAGGTCTGGTCTGAACTAGTCTGGTCTGGTAAACGTATGGTCTCTGTGTATTTTATAACTACGGAAGTCTGGTCTGGTCTGGTCTGTTTAAGTCTGGTCTGGTCTGATCTGTTTAAGTCTGATCTATTCTGCTTAAGTCTGGTCTGGGACTGAAAAAAGTTCAAAAGAAAACATCATAAGTCTTGTTTGGTCTGGTCTGCAGGTCTGATCTGGTCAGGGATTGAAGCCGGTCCAATTAAAAACATCCTTACATACATATTCCTGATACGAATTAATAATGTTCAAGTTTTCAATTAAAGTATAACTTACTAGATATAGTTTATAAAAATTTCGGGGTCTTTATATATATGGGTGTGTTAGCGTGTATAATCACTTATTCATTTTTTTAACGATATGATAATTATGAATATTACGTCAGTAGATACTCTAATTACAAATTTATTTATTAAGCTATTATAGTATATTGATCTAATTTAAATCAATATTTTTTTATTAATCACATTAGTTTAGGAATTTTCCTTGTTAAATACTATGTATAAATACTACCACTGTGCAAAAGATTTTCCTGCTATGCAAATAAAACTGAATCTTTCATCCCACGCGTACATTACACGTTAAGTACTTAAGTTTGGGAGTTTTACTAATCTTTATTTTTGCATATGCAAGGAGAATATGGTGGAAAACCAAACAAAAAACTATAGAGTCCAAAGAAATGAAAAAAAATTATGTTAATTTATGAAACATTATATTTAATTACTTCATAATTAATAATGATTAATGATTAATGATTATGAAGCATTTTATAATTCTATAAATAGAAATAATTAAAGATTGTGTGAATATTTAATTAATAGTTACAATGTATAAATAACACATTAAAAATGAAATAAATATAAATATAATAATTGAAAAATAGAAACGTAAAAAATTCGAATTTCATTTGGACACATGAAAATAAAGATATAATAATGTAATATTGTGAAACTAGATTAGCTACTAAAAAAATTACTAATATTTAGATAGTTCCAAATTAGGATATCACATTTGCTCTAGCTCTACCGTCAATTTAAACGCAAGAATTAAATGAAGGACTTGATTAATATAGATCAAATAGAATAAGGACTAAAATGATATATAGTTTGAGGACTATTTATGCATTTTACTCTATAACTAGTATAGTACCCGTGCGATGCACGTGATATAATTTACTACCGGAGTATGTGATTTGTAGGACGACTAACATTCAAACTTTAATCCCAAAAAAGATTGGTTTCGACTAACATGAATCAACACATGAAATCGAAGCTAAGAAAATAAGAAAGATACATAAGCAAGTAAAATAAAAAGTTAAGATAAAATTAAAATGATTAAGATAAAGTAAAATATAAGATAAAGATAAAAATAATAAGACATAAAGGATAAAAATGTAAGATAGAGGGATAAATGATGAAAACATAAGTATGTACCTATAATGTAGAGATTCTATATGTAAACCCCTGTAATTGAGTTGAAAATAAGTCCATTCGTCAATTTCAATTTAAAATGTATTAAAAGATCGTTCCTTATCATATTTTAAATAATATATAATGCCAAAATTTTATTATTATGATGTATCGTGCTAAAACTAATTGATCGACAAAAAATGAAATCAAATATGACAAAAATTAGCAGGATTAATTTTTTGGGTCCAACAAAATTCGACAGATGATAGTTTGAATTATTATAATCTAATAATGGCAGGAAGCAGGGGCTGGTTCGGGCATTAATGGAGGGGTTGATCCTGGTGTGTGGCTGTAGCTTGTAGGGGTGGGTAGAACAATGTGTTATTTTCTAATGTGTCTGAAAAATTATCAACTCATTTTCATATAGGATGCCATAATGGTGTTTTACGGAGTTCAGGTTGAATAAAAATTTGCAACTATGCGCAATGGTCGGAGATATATGACTGTCAAGGTCATATGTGATTCAATAATTTTATTTTTCTGGAAATGTTGAATTGGTCTCTAATGATCTTCTATTAAAGGTCCTACCAAAGAAAGCTCATCAGCCACAAAAGAAAAGAACCTTTCTCAACAGTTCAATCACTGCCAAATCCCTAAAACACTTATGTCCAAAATTCAATTACATACCTTTATCAAACCTACTCCGTACTTTTTTTTTATTTTAGTGTGGAAAATAAGTGTTCTTTGTTTACTTAAAGATTAAAATGCATAAATGGTACCTAAACTATCAGTATCATATCATTTTGGTTCTTAAATTATTAAATATATCATTTTAGTCCTTAATCTATTTGATCCATATTAATCAAGTCCTTCCGTTAATTCTTTCCGTTTAAATTGACGGTAGAGCAAATGTGATATCCTAACTTTACACAATTTGGAACTACACAAATATTAGTAATTTTTAGTAGCTAATGTAGTTTCAGAATATTACATCATTACATCTTTATTTTCATGTGTCCAACTGAAATTTGATTTTTATTTTACGTTTCTATTTTTCAATTATTATATATATATATATATATATATATATATTTACTTCATTTTAAGACGTTATTTATACATTGTAACTGTTAATTAAATACTTACATAATTTTTAGTTATTGCGGTTTATAGAGTTATTAAAAGCTTCACTAATCAAGACAATATTTTTTTTCATCTTTTTGACTCTAAACAGTTTTTATGTGATTTTCCACCATACTCTCAGGATGTTTTTACTTGGACTGTAATTTGCTGGTCTGGTCTGAACTGATCTGGTCTGGTCTGAACTGGTCTGGTTTCTTTGTATTTTTATAACTATCCAAGTCTGGTCTGGTCTGGTCTGAACTGGTCTGGTCTGGTCTGGACTGGTCTGGTCTGGTCTGGGACAAATTACAGTCCAAGTAAAAACATCCTCAGTATATACAAAGATATGTACATAATCATTAATCATTATTATTTATGAAGTTATTAAATGTTTCATAAATTAACAAAATATTTTTTCATTTCTTTGGACTCTATATAGTTTTTTATTTGGTTTTCCACCATATTCTCATTGCATATCAAAAATAAAGATTAGTAAAACTCTCAAACTTAAGTACTTAACGTGTTATGTATGCAACCAAGCATTCCAGCCCAACTGGTTGTGAAGTTATCGTGCATAGTGGGAGGTCTCGAGTTCGAAACCCGCTAGACACATAAGGGTTTGAAACTCAATGGAATGAGTTTTAGCCTTGATTACTCCAGGCCCCCCTTCCCCTCCCCAGACCCCCTGGAGTAAAAAAACGTGTTATGTATGCATGGGATGAAAACTTTAGTTTTAGTTGTATAGTGTTATTAATGTGATTAATAAAAAAATTGATTTAAATTAGATCAATATACTATAATAGCTTAATAAATAAATTTTTAATTAGAGTATCTACTGACGTAATATTCATAATTATTATATCATAGATGAATGAATAAGTGATTATACACACATATATAAGGACCCCGAAATTTTTATAAACAATATGTAGTATGTTATACTTTAATTGAAAATTTGAACAATAATAATTCGTATAAGGAATATGTATGTAAGGATGTTTTAATTGGACTCTTTTTAGTCCCAGACCAGACTAGACAAGACTTGGATAATTATAAAATACACAGAGATCATACGTTTACCAGACCAAACCACTTTATACCAGACTGGATCAGACCAGAAAATTCCAGTACAAATAAAAACATCCAATGCGTTATATTATGAATTGATAGTGATTTTCATTCTAATTTATTTAGATATTAAACCAGGAAATTTATAAATTATATTTTGTCTAATAAGTATGTTGATTTACACGTACATGCACTAACTTAGCATATTTCGTTTGTCTAACGTCAAAATACTAATAAAAGGACCGAATTAATATGGATTAAATAGATTAGCGACTAAAATGGTAGAATTATTAGTTCAAGGACTAAAACGATATGATGTTGATAGTTTATGGACTATTTATGCATTTTACTCATGTATTTCTATATAATTAAAGGCTAAAAGGCCTTTTCAATCTCAAATAGTACAATAATAAAAATCAGTTCAAAAAGTAGCCATATTGTTATTTTTTCAACTGATCATAAAATCAGTTCAAACAGCCAAATGATCATGTGCTTAGTGTTTTTTTCCCCATATTTTCAGGCTTTTCAGCCCATTTTGGTTGCTCCAAACACCCTCTTAAAGTTATGATCCTCAAACTACATAAACCATATCATAAACCATGTGGAAACCTTTATCTTACCATATATACATTATGGGTTATCTATGACACAAACAAAACTCAATCCGAGAGAGATGTCCTTAAACCCAAAAAAGTGAGTTAGCTCGGGCAAGATGGGAGTCTTGACTTCAGCCCCATGGGGTTGAACCACCCTACTAGTCTGACTTTGATGAGGATTAGGCAAAACCGGGCCGGGCGAATAAGGGTCATCGTCTCGTGTTGACTGGTCGGTCTTCGGCTGAGGCGGCGGTGGACCGGAAGGCATCTCTGGTGGAGTCCGGTCATAGTCAGGCACGCAGGGGGCTTGAGGAACCTCAGATGACTCGGTGGGCATATCCGGGGGGTGGCGCCGCGGGGAACTCCGGCGGAGGTTTGCCGGAGGATGAACCCGCCGTGGCCGAGATAGGATTTGCTTTAAATGTAGTTTGTAGAAAAAATGAAGGCCTTGTCATTTTCCTTGACGCGAAAACAATTGGAACAATTTTCTTCATCATTAAGAAGGTTATATTTAGGGTTGGGTCCGAAAAACCGAAAACCGAAAACCGAATCAAATCATACCGAACCGTAACCAAATAAAACCGAACCGCTAACAAACCGAAACCGAATGTAAAAAACCGAACCGAACCGTAGTTGTTTGGTTCGGTTTTGATTTTTACTCTTCAAAACCGAACCGAACCGAACAAACCGAACTAATTAAAATATAAAATTTATTTGTCAATTGTTAAGCATTAATCCTAGCAAATCCTAATATCATTAATAGTCTTTGATTTTCTTGTGCTAGAGAAATAATGTTTGTGTTATGTTTAGTTTAGTTTATAAATTCATTTACACATTCATTGTCCGTAATAACGTAGCTATACGAAATGATGATAATATATTTTTACTAGTTATTAGTATTAATTAACCTTTATTTTTATTTAACTTAAAGAATTCATATTGATGAAACAATAAATATTCATCTCAACTATATCACATAGAACGTATATAACTATATACTCATGAATTTTTTTGAACTAGTCACAAACAATGTAGATTAATAATATATATTTTTATCTCTCTCGCATACTCATATAATTCAAGACATATTTATTTATTTTTATTTTTATTTTATTTGTTGTAGTGAGTTTGCATTCTTTATGTAATACTATGTATATGTTTGATCCCTCAAAGTATTATAACAAGTTTAAATCAAATGATAATTTTTTGGCAAAAAACCGAAAAAACCGAAACCGAATCGAAATAAACCGAACCAATCAAACCGTGGTTCCAAGTTTTGAAGGGTAAAACCGAACCGAAACCGAACCGAACTTTTTACTTTGATTCTATATTTGGTTTTAAGTCAGAACCGAACCGCAAGAACCGAACCCACCCCTAGTTATATTTCTTTGTTTTATTACCGTATGGTAATTGGTGTGTATATATATTGATGAGATGAGAAGAAACATTCATCATCAGAATATTGAAACGGTGGCGCGCGCGTTTACGTGGCTTGCCACATGGCTTGCGTTGACCACATTTGTCCATGCGTTGTGCGTGGATCATGGACACGTGGAAAGCTGATGACCAAGGTGCCATGCTAAACTTTTCATGTCCAAGTTATTCATTTTTCTTCAATGTCTAAAATGTATCAAAATCATAATTTGGGTTTCAAAACAAATTAAAAATATCTCGAGATATTCACGGAGTATTATTTGGGAGAAAAATATTTAAAGCTTGTTGGTTTCCGAATAAGTCAACTACAATCAGACAAACTCTAATAATATAAAGCGTCATCAATATCATTCACATTCACATGTAAAACATTCATACACAAACATAATATTTAGATTTCAAGCCACACAAGGGAGAGCATACAACGCTCAAATAATAGTTTATGAGAAAACATTATCCATAAGTATTGATTTTATGTATTTGTTTGAAAGTAGATACAGAGGAAACCCGAACAAAAAGCACATGTAGAAAGCTCTAGCTTTAGATATTGCGAGTATATTGTGAGGATATCATCAATCAACTATTTAACTAAATTTTGTAAATTGTGATTTTTGATTTTTGATTTTACGCGCTAAATTGTGTAATAATAAGAAAAAGTAAGGTCAAAGTTACTTTTTTTTGCTATATTGACTTACGTTATTATAGATGATCATTTTAGCTATTTTTTCATAATTTTTTTTCTTTATTGATTTAAAATATAATATATTTTAATTTTTTTTCATAAATCAGCAGAATCAGCCAATACAGCCACTTCAACCAGAACTTCGTAAATTTCAGCAAAATCAGCCCATTCAGCTGATTTCAGTGATACTAAACAGACTCTTAATCTATATACTCGGTATATTTGATCTTTGCAAGCTAAGAACTGAAGAAGTCAACAAGGGTCAATACGATAAGAGCTATTTACTTATTTTGAGTATACATATTGCTTAATCCTTGAGCCAGAGAAATTGAAGAATAAAATCACATGTCAACTACTCAACTGTACGTATAGAACCAGGGGCGGAGCCAGGGGTCAAGGTGTTCAGCCGAACCCGCTGAAAGTTCAAGTATGTGGAGCTCTAAAATGCTTTCGATTTGATATATTATGGGTCCCGCAACTCATTACGACTAAAAAGTTATGACTTCTGAAAAAATCAGCATCATCTTAACTTGAAATTAGCAAAATTTGATGGGTGACGTTGATTATATTCTTAAATTTAAAGATAAAACACTTTATTCAGTCATTAGTTGTGTGAACATTATGATACATTACATATATATCGATACATTAATCGAAAATACTCATTAAACTATCATTCAACTCAGCTACATATGAAAAACACTTAACTCAAATATTGTATAACAACTAGCCATCATTTTGATTCTGTATATAATTAAATTCCGACCCCCTCACACATTTTTCTGGCTCCGCCCATGTACAGAACATTTCAAGTTTTCAACCATAGAAATTAAGCATTAAAATGATTAAATGAATTACATACATGTTGACTGTAGATAATTTCTACAGAATTTGAAATTTCACCATTGCATGTCGAAGATTCTAGCTAATTTTGTGGTTTCCGACTAATACATATGACTATGGGGTTAATACAGCCTGTTCGACCATTTTGGTCAAAGACTATGACTATCATTCTAGGTAAGTTTTGTGAATTATTACCTTCGTTCCAATAGCCGGGTCTTAACAAACTATTTTAATTTTTAATGAGAAAATGATATGACAATTTTTTTTGGAAGAATTTATACTTCGTATTGCGTAGTAAAAGGAGAAAGTCGACAAACTTGGGAATGAGGGAAATGTTACTCTACTATGAAGTCATACATGACGTGACATTTCTATGGCCATTGAGGAGGTCCTCGTCATGACTAGACTTGCACAAAAACAGATTCGGACCAGACATTTTATAAATTTTTTGTCCATCATTCATGGGCTGGCCCTGCCTGCAAAAACGGGCATAACCCCATGTCCATACGCGCCCGTAAGAGCGGGTCGGGTAGTCCACCGGGCCGCCCGGCCTGGAAAAACTTTAAAATTTTCAAAATTATACGGAGTACGTAGTACTCCGTATAATTTTTTTTAGGGGTGAGCATAAAACCCGAACCGAACCGGTACCAAACCGGCCCGTAATGGTACCGAACCGAATATCGAGTATTTAAACGGTTCTATGTATTTTTTATCCCAAACCGAAACCGTACCGTTTGAAACGGGTACGGGACCGGTCCTATATTTTGACAACCGAAAAATACCGGACCGGATCGTTAAAATTTAATGCATTTGAATTTTTGATATTTTTTCCATACAAATAAATCTATTTTATAGACCAATAATTTTATAGCCAAAATATGCATTTGCGTGTCCTAAAATAGCTAAACATGTGTGTTCATACGTATATTGTTAGTTTTCCTTTTAGATAATTTGTGTTACATTTTGGTATGTATTGAAAGACTGTTAAAGTTTAAAAATCATTAATGAATATTCATTTCTAATAATGTAGTGTATATAACTTTTTTTGTATCATGTTTGTGCAATTTTACAATTTAATTAATGTGTTTTAAATCTTAGCTCACACGGTTTAACTATAAATTAAACTACAACTAAAATTTAACCAATAACAAAGAAGAACGTTGAAATTTTCTATTATATTCAACAATTTAATGATATTATTTATATATTTTCACATGAGCTTAGTAAATTAAAGATGATATTTATCTCGTGCACCATCATTTTGTTATACTTTTTCTTAGTTGTATTGTACTATTTGTATATTTGTAAATTTTAGTACAACGTATACAATTTCTTGTATTTAAACCAACATTTCATGTGAGTTGGTTTGATGTGATGATATCTATTAATTGCAAGATTTGTCAAATTTTTTAGCATGTGTTTGGCATTGTACCGTACCGTTTTGTACCGTTCCGAAATGACATGGTACCGAATGGTTCCATTCTTAGAACCAGACCGTACCAGATTGTTAAAAACCTCACGGATACATTACGAGTTTTACTAATTTCCCTAACCGTTCCGACGGCCGAGGGCACGTGGCGATAATCCGATGGCCGAGGGGTCACCTCAATCGGGTGGCACTGGCAATCGCATGTGCTCTGCATTGAATGCGGTGGGTGGATGTGACGTTGCATTAAATGCGGTGGTTGCTTGTCTCCAAAGGGAATCTTTTCAGTGATTGAGTTGTTGGCCGAGGGCTCCCCCTGCGGCCGAGGGCCTGTGTAGCCGAAGGCATGGGAGTGCCGAAGGCTCCCATGATACCGATGGGTAGGGGTGGGCACGGTCCGGTCCGGTCCAATATTTGGCCGAACCCGTACCCGTACCGTTACTATTGAAACGGTTCGGTACGGTTCGGTTTTAGACCCAAACCCGTTCGGTACGGTCCATTTTCAAACGGGACGGTACCATGCCATACCAATACCAAACAATGCCACTTTTTCCAGGTGTTTAAGAAAAAATTATAGTTTAGCCATCCTCCAAAAAATCCACACAATTTATCAATTTTCATATATCATACTACCTTCGTTCCTAATTGATTTGCAAAGTCAATCTTTTTTGGTCAAACAATTTCTTTTTATTCACTTAATTAGAATTTCACTTTTTAATTATATTCTAATTTAGCCTTTCAAAAAAACTACTCTCTACTTCGTATATTTTAATTTGGATTTTGCAACTTTAGAGAGATTTTAATGTGGTTTCTAAATATGTAAATTTTAATTATTAAAAATTGTATTAATTATCAAGAACTTAACATTAACTTTGACAAAAAAATGTTGACTTTGCAAATCAATTTGGGACGGATGAGGTAATTAATATATTTTAGATAAACTAGAGTAGTACAAATTTAATAAACCAGGCCGGTTCGGTCCGGTACCGGTTCTCATTTTATGAGAACCGGTCATGGCATTGTTTGGAACCGGTTCGGTCCGGTTCGGGACAAAAAATTTTGAGATCCGTTTCAAACCCCGTTTATCGGTCCGGTACCATACCGGTCCGGTTCGGTATCATGCCGGTTCGGTATTTTTGCCCACCCCTACCGATGGGAGCAGGTGTTTGGCCGAAGGCTACTGGTAGCCGAGGGCTACTATTTTACGCCGTTTTCTCCCAGTAGATTCGTATGCTCGAATCTTGGTGCCCTGTGTATTTTGGAGCATTCGGCCAAGGAGGCCGAAGGCACCCCAGTGTGTATTTCGGGCTTCTTTGAGACTTGGGCCGCTGTTTTTGGGCTTCAAATGTTCCTTGGGCTCAATGGGCCTGTATAGGAGAAGTAGGAGTCTATGGGCCGGGGGGTTCCTAGGCCATATACTCCATCAGCGCCCACCCCTAATTTTTTTAATAGTTTTAAAAAAATTACAACATTTTAAAAATTGTTAATATGCTTATAATGGTTATTATAGCACATACAAAAATAATACTTACACAAAAATAATAATGAGAAACTATATCTAAAATTTAAAATTCAAGCACAAAGTATTATCTTTAAGTACAAAACTAGATGCTATATTAGTTAGGCTAGTTGTTAAAAACTAAAAACTTATATTTAAACATAATAAGCTATAAATATGTATAAAGATAAATTAGTAAATATAAATATACTATGTATGTATGTATGTATGTATGTATGTATGTATGTATGTATGTATGTATGTATGTATGTATGTATGTATACATAATGTAGCGGGCCGGGCTTATCGGACCGAACGGGCCTACACCTTAACCGAAGCCCGCCCATATGTTATTGCGGGCCGGGCCAAGTCGGGCCTTGTGAGTAAATATATATGTCCAAGCCCGCCCATTTGTGCGGGCCGGTAGCGCAGGCCGGGCGGGCCGACCAGGTTTTGTGCAGGTACTCATGACCCCATCTGCTTTACGAATAAATGGTTATAATAAAGTCAAATATACATAGATTCCATATATATTTGTGTATCTTTCGTAAAATTTGAAGCACCGATTTTATATAGGGAAAAGTACAGAAAAGATACTTGTGTTTAATTGGTTCCGTTTTCGGATAGGGTCATATGTTTCATTTCATTCTTTATCAAAGTGGTTCATGTGTTGGAATTCAGTTATCACAAAAGGGTCATGCAGTTAAAAACAGCTGAAAAGACCGTTAAAAATAAATCTGATTTTTAAAAGTGACCGAAAAATTAAAAGAAAACTATCGGAAGGTGAGCCTCAATAAGACGACCGCTAGGCCATCTTTCTTTTTTGTTTTCAGCCATCCTTGTCACAAGAAAGTCCACCGGAAAAGCGATATTAAATAAATCATTTTTAAAAAATAATTCAAACAGATCCGAATGGATTCCATCCTTTCAAAACGCTTCTGGGTAGTTCTAATGCAACAAAACAAAAAGGGGACCAAATAAGCCGATCCCGGCCCTAAAACTTGAGCTATGGGATCAAGACTCCTTTCCCCACTAGTTCAATCTCGATCCAGGCTCAGAACCTTAATTTCCGCTGTCCATGCCTGTTTAAAAACTGACTTGTGGACGCTCCAATGAGTTGTAGAATATTACATTCTTGTCTATAAGTTACAAATCAACTATGAATTAGGGGTGCTTGGAAATAATTGTGCTTCTGATTCTTTTGTAAAATTAGGAATAGAATGAGAATCAGTTTTTCAGAAACTCGTCTCTCTCACCTTCTAAAAGATGCTACTAGCAGTGGCGGATCTAGCGCTTATATTTTGGGTGTTCAAAATCACATTAAAACTACAATTTTAAATGATAGTTTGAACATTAATTTATGCAAGAATTATGCAATTTTGTCATTCCAATAAAAAACTACGCCCAATAAATTACATACTTATCTTTTTTAGTAAAAACTACTCCCTCCGTCCCTGATTGTTCTTCCAAATTAAAGTGGCACAGTGATTAAGAAAGTGAGAATTGTGTGGTGGAGAGATGTGCAGAGGAGAGAGAAATGATGTGAACCACAAATTCTTTGCCAAAAAGGGAAAGTGAAGTTCTTTTTGGGACGGACGAAAAGGGAAAGTTGGAAGTAAATTTAGGGACAGAGGGAGTACTAAACTAATACTCCCTCCGTCCCAAAATTATCTTCATTATTTCCTTTTCTGTTCGTCCCAAATTTATCTCCTCTTTCCCTTTTTGGTAAAGGATTTGTGGTTCACAATCATTCTTACACATTTCTTTCTCCTCTGCACAACTCTCCACCACACATTTCTCACTAACTTAATCCTCGTGCCCAGTCAAAACCGAAGTTAATTCTGGGACGGAGGGAGTAAATTTTTCTTAAATTATTACACCTGTCGAAATAATTCTCAGACATATATGTTTTACACGATTATTTTCGGACACTGAGACACTAGTATTTTCAGAGACAAAATTATTCCTCTCTCGATAGTTTTGTTTCAACCGTGAAGAAACCAATGGACAAGATATGTACGGAGTATATGCAATCTCCTCTTTACAGATTTGATAGCATTGATGTCAAATAACACTGTGGCAAACCCAAAATTTTCATGTGATTAATTATGATTGCTACATATATCATGCATACGTGTCAAAAGAATTTTCACACATGTTTTACACAATTACCACAATTACACATGTTTTCAGAGACCAAGGCACTCCACGATTATAAGAGTGTTTGGCTTTGCTTAAAAAAGCACTTTTTAGCTTTTGGCTTAAAAAAGTTGAAAAGAGTGTTTTCAAATGATAACTTCTGCTTAAATTAATCACTTAAAAGCTAAAAGCTGGAAGCAGGTAGAAGGGTGCTTTATACTGCTTCTCACTTTTTCTATTACCCAAAAAATACTTATTTTACCAAACACTTCCAACTTTTACTTTTTCAGAATCACTTTTTTCTCAAACACTACCAAACTTTTACTATTAATCACTTTTCCCAAAATTATTTTAAAAAAATCACTTTTTTAAAGTTGAAGCAATTGCAAACACTCCCTATTTTTTCTAGCACCTGGACCTAATACATAGTAATGGTTATTTGAAAGTTCAGGGTATTCAAGTGAACACCCTTGAACAGCAGTGGATCCGTCACTGGCTACTAGAAGCAATTTGAAATATTTAGAAGTACTTCTTCACTTCTACCCAAACACTCTCATATTTTCTTTTGCTCTCTAAGGAGTAGAAGCCGTTTTGAAGCAATCCAAACACCCCTTAGTTTAAACAGGCTTAAAGAAGCAATTACACTCTTTTTTAAACACAATTATTGACCTCCCAATTACATACAATCGGACTGTACCTTCACTAACTATATAAGGCGACAAACGTGATTTCAAACACGGTTGATATACACTCCTTTGGGGTCAAAAACATGGTGACTAAACATTGGGTCACGCAAATTATAATAAAAAATTCCTTTTGTACACGTTTTTGTACCCATCAGTACACGCATGTGTCTGTGAGAGTTTTTTTTTGTCTGTGAAGTGCGGTCCACAGACAAAAGCTGGTTTGTTTTGTCTGTGAAATTTTCCACAGACAAAACAAGTGAACTTATGTCTGTGGACTGCGCTTCACAGACAAAAAAAACTCTCACAGACACATGTGTGTACTGATGGGTACAAAAACGTGTACACCAAGAATGGTTGAATTATAATTGCTCAACTAAACATTGTTTTGGCGCACATCTGTTTTGTCGTACATATCCAATCAACACACGTAACATAGCTACCCCTTCGTCCTTAATACGAATATCATCTTTGTCATTATAGTACATTAGTACCGGAGTTTAAGAGGTTCGGGGTTCGACTAACAATGAAGATAACTCCCATTGAAATTAAAGTTAAAATAAATAAATATAACTTGCATATTTGGAAGCATACTATAGAACCTCCATTAATTAAACTACAAGAACCAAATTTGGTATACAAAACTATAAAATAAACAATAATTGAACTCATATTCCGCTTTTGGTAAGTCTTAATTTCAACTTATTAGTCTTGTCAGTCAACATTTTTTATTGTACACGTACATTTTAATTTTACGCGTTGAATGGTGTACTAATCAAATAAGTGAGACTGAAATTACTTTTTTGACTGAATTGACTGAAGTTATCAGAGAAGATCGTTTAGCATTTTTCATATAATTTTATTAATAAAATATATTTTAAATATAATTTACCAGAATTCAACAGATTCAATCAATTTAATCATTTTAAATTGAATTTCATCCATTTTAACACATAAACTAACATATGTGCTCTCATTTTTTTTTTTTTTTACAAAATGACAAAGTATCCCATCACAATGAAAAATGATACATATGGACCCTATTCCTCCAAGTGTCATTTAGTCATTATCTCACTAAACAGTGCATATTCTATAGGTACTAGTGTACTACAATGCGTTGTGGACTAGACTGATTCTTTTCTCAGCGTTCACATATGAAAGAAGGCAATTCTGCTGAATAGTTTGGTGACCGACCTAATCTATGTAAGGGGAGAAAATTCAACGCCACCTTGACCTTGCCAGCCATATGTCTGTATATATAGATAGATTAATCAATATCCTTTGGAGAATAATCAAACTTGTTTTGATACACAATATTTAGCTCATCTTATTAAAATTAGATTCACCAAAATGGTCTTCATCGTCCTACCCATACATTTGTTGTTGCTTCTTATTGGAAGCTCTTCAGCTCAACAACTTTCACCACAGTTTTACTCAACTTCATGTCCAAACCTTTTACCAACCGTGAAAACTGTGGTGCAGAATGCAATTACCAAAGAGGCTCGCATGGGCGCCTCGATCCTCCGACTCTTCTTTCACGACTGCTTTGTCAACGTAATCATTTTTACCTACTTACATACATATTCTTTGAGGTAAGGGTCAGATTGGTACTCGAAGTTGCATAAAAAGGGTCAAATAAGTCCTTATACAGGAGGCTCTGTCCGGTCGTTGCTATTTGGGGTGGTTCCCGGTTGATTTTTTTACGATTTTTTTTTAGAATCTTATTCATTAAGTCTAGTTTAGTCATACCAAATTTCAGCTAAAACTTCAATCGAGAAGACATCAAATGAGTTCTTGAGGATAACTGCGCAGTTAAAAGCGCAATTATCTTCAAGAATTCATTTGAATGCCTTCCCCATGGAAGTTTTAGCTAAAATTTGGTATGAGTAGACTAGACTTAATGAATAAGATGCTCAAAAAATTTCATCAAAAACTTCCACCGGGAACCACCCCAAATGGCGATGTCCGCACAGTAAGTACTTATTTGACTCTTTTTATGTAACTTCGAGTACCAATCTGACTCTTACCTTCATATTCTTTGCTTAATTGAAGTGTCACAGTTTAACTCGGTACGTTAGGGTTTTTTTCTTAAATATTACAGAGTACGTCAAGTAAAAGTGAAAACTTTTACTCGTGGACAAAAATGTGACTTAACGAACAGAACTGTTTAGGGGTGGGATTTTAGAACCGGGAACTGTAGAACCGATTGGAACCGAACCGTTAACAACATCTAGGAACCGAACCGTTAACAATTAATGCCTCATTTGTAGGAACCGAACCGAAGCGGGTTATAACGGTTCGGTTCCCGATTCCTATAAAAAATATGTGAATGGAACCGTTATGGAACCGTTATTAAAACAATAAAAAATAAAACAATATAGTAGTAGTAGTAGTAACAATAATAGTAATAATATAATAGCAATAATAACCACCACCACAACAACAATAATAAAACAATATAAGATATTTAACTAACAATTCTAATTTAATCAATGGAAAAGAAGTAATAAATATTGTACATGAGGTTGATATATACATTAAACTCCTTTCTACAAATCAAGTTTTGTTCCATCACATAAATTTTATAAATATAAAATAACTCAAATAACTTGTAGTTGATTGCACATATTTTACTTTACTACTTTCATAATATTTCTAATTATTAGATTTATAATGAATCAATAGAATGTAATAATGTTTTTTTATATCTATACATGCAAACTCAATGTCTTTTTTTTAATGTTTTGAAAGACTTGAAGTAGGCGTCCTATTCTTGCTACTATGATGACGAGTAACCTCCATCGCTCCGACACTACAACGATTTTTAATGTTTCATTTATTACATGAAAATTTAAATCACTTTTGTTCTATTAAGTGTTCAAAGTTCATTAGTTAAGTTTGAGCTTTGATGTTTGAAGTGATTAAAGCTTCAAATGAAATTTTAATACTCGTGTTTTGAATTTTTGACGTGTTTAAAATTATGTATTAATTCTTAGACGAGAAAAAATTATTCTAGGAACCGGTAAAAGGAAGAACCGAATCGTTTACTACCGGTTCGGTTTCATAACGGTTCCTGATTTTTTATATAAGAACCGAACCGATTTAATTAGTTAAAACTTTTATAACGGTTCCAGCCATAGAACTGTTTAAGGCATTAAGTAGATAGAGTCATAGAGAAACCGTACTTAATAATGTGGTGTGGTTGAATGGCGGCAGGGATGCGATGGATCACTTCTGCTTGATGACAATTCTACCTTCATTGGAGAGAAAAATGCGGCTCCGAACTTCCAGTCTGCTCGTGGGTTCAACGTCATCGACGACATCAAGACTGCCGTCGAGATAGTATGTCCCAAAACTGTGTCTTGTGCTGACATTCTGGCAATTGCTGCTCGTGACTCTACTTCCATTGTAAGTCTTCATTTACTATTCTCCTGTCCCGTTAGAGTTTGACAAGTTAAGCCAGTTTCAAAAGTTGAGTTGCACGTAGAATAAAATTGAAAACTCATGGGATTGAGGTTTGTGTATAATGAAAGAAATAACAATAACAAAACCAACTTCTATGTACTTTCTATATATTTTTCTTTTTTAAGTAACTTCTATGTACGAAGTATGTATGTAAAAAGATTTGTTAAAAAATGATACTCCCTCCCTCCCTTAAAACTTTGTATCTTTCCTTTTCGGGGCGACCCAAAAAACTTTGACACTTTCTCTTTTAATCAATTATTTTGTGATTTCTGTTATTTTTCTCTCCTCTGCACAAATTTCAACCACACAGTTTTTACCTTATTATTTTCCGTGCCGGTCAACTTTAGAAAAGTTTTAAGGGAGGGAGGTAATACTATGTACACGTATATGCAATTGACATACTACAATTTATGTAGCTTGGAGGGCCCAGTTGGAATGTGAGCCTGGGTAGAAGAGATGCCACGACAGCAAGCCAAGGTGCTGCCAACAATAGCATCCCTCAACCGACTTTTAACCTCACTGGCCTCGTTTCCAGCTTCTCTGCTGTTGGCCTCTCAACTAAGGACCTGGTTGTTTTATCAGGTGAATTTATTTGAATTGTTTAATATATACTTCGTATATACTCAGTGTGTGTGATACGAAGTACTACGTATATGATAAAATCAGAATCTGATCTAATGAGAAAATGAGAATAAAATCAGGGCGTTACATTTGAACATTACATGAAATCAAAATGTGCAACACCCTAAACCTGTAAAAATGAGTGATATTTTTGTAAACAAATTGAGAATTTTTACTACCGCAAACTGTGCATAATCGGAAACAGAAACATACACCACCATGAAACAGAATGTGAACCATTTTACGCCATTAAACTTCCCATACTATCAGAAATAAATATGATTTCTTTATAGTATGATTTGTATTTAGATCAAATTATATGGTATATGTGTTTTTACCCAACTAAGAGCCTCTGTTGACTATGGTAAGAGAAATAAAGATGGTTGGGCTAACTATAAAGTTGAAGCTTTGACTCAATTCTCAATCTACTAGTGTGACTGTGTGAGCTACATATTTCCACAAATGTTCCAACTATTATCTTCAAAAACTTAGGCAAAAAGGTACACACAAATTTACTTTTCTCATCACCCACTAATTAATCATGCAAAGTCAAGTAATTAGTATTATAAGAACATCTAACTGATAAGCACAAAACAAGAAAACCAAAAGCTTAAGAAAAAGTTTAAGTTGATGTTAGAAATAGACAGTGTTTAACTATTTAACAAAATGACAGGTGCACACACTATTGGGCAGGCAAGGTGCACCAACTTCAGGGCAAGAATATACAATGAGAAAAATGTGGACTCAGCCTTTGCCCAAAGCAGGAAAAGCAACTGCCCAAGTTCTAGTGGGTCAGGGGACAACAACTTGGCCCCACTTGATCTCCAAACGCCAACAACATTTGACAACAACTACTATGGTAACCTGGTAAGCAAGAAGGGGCTTCTTCACTCTGATCAGCAGCTCTTCAATGGGGGTTCAACTGATACTTCAGTCCAAGGATACAGCTCAAACCCAAACTCATTCCGGTCTGATTTTGCCACATCCATGATTAAGATGGGTAACATTTCGCCCCTCACTGGGAACAAAGGCGAGATTAGGACCAACTGCAGGAGGGTGAACTAATAATGTATACCCACAGGCACTCCTAAACTGCAACTTGTAGCAGTGATATTATTGTTTTTGAAGATTTCTGCTTAATACGAGTAACTTTTTTTGCTCCAGCTTTTTTCCAATTTTTTCGTATCAATCGATTGAGTTGAGAATGTATTTTCACTTAAATCATGTGCAAGATCTTCTATGAAAATCTCTAATAAAAGTTCCTATGTTTCTTCAATTTTGTAAAGCAAAGCCGTTATAATCTGTGTACTGCAGAATTATACACTTAATTCCAATTCCTTAGCCTATGTTTGGAAGAAGGAACCGAGCTCAAGGCTATTATACATTAATTGTCTTGATCATTAAATTTCAGTTCAAAACGAGTAGAATCTTCATACAAAGTACAGACATATATAGCCTGAATAATTATTTAGGTATAATATAATACGAGTAGTGAATATATATAATGGATCACTGCTACATTTCGATCAGGATTTATAATATCATCAAGAACCAATACAACTAGTCAAATAACCATTTTTATTCCGAGCCCACTTAATAACACTAAAATTGCATGTATCAACGGGTTCTATTGCAATTTATGAAACTCCGGAAGAAGTATGAAAAAAATGAAACACGTAGTAATTTTTTTTAAAAAAAATTATGAAAAATAGCTAAATTAATCTTCTACAATAACTTTAGTCAATTCAAATTAGGGGTGAACATATTGGTCTGATTTAACCGAATCAAATCGTTAACAATTTGAATTAAACTTACCGAATCCGGACCATATGCAATTTGGTTTGAGTTTGGTAGTATTTCTTCAAAACCAAATTAAACCGAACCGAAACCAATAAAAACCTAACAAAACCAAACCGAACTAAAGAAATTCAATAAGGGATGCTTGCAACAGCTTCTGCTTAAAAAAGCACTTTTGGGGTGATTTGGAAAAAGTGATTAGTTGTAAAAGTTGATAGTGTTTGAGAAAAAAGTGATTTTGAAAAGTAAAAGTTGGTAGTGTTTGGTAAAATAAGTGTTTTTGGTGTATAAAAAGGGGAAAAGCACTTTTAACACGAAAGCCGAGAAAAGTAAAAAAATTAGTAGTGTTTGGTAAATAAGTGTTTTTTAAAGCCAAAAGCTGAGAAATGTTTTTTTTAAAGTTGTTGCAAACCAGCCCTAAACCCTTCATATATTATTAAAAAATAACAAATTCAAACCGAACCAAACCTAAGTAAAACCAAATCGAAAAATAGTACGGAATATGATTTTTGTTTGGTAATAATTCTCCAAACCGTTCCAAACCGAACCGAAATCAATAAAAACCGAAACGAAAACTGATATGTCCACCCTTATTCAACAGAAATGTAACTCCAACCTTACTTATTTTGATTTTGACACAATTCACTGCACTGAATCAAAAGTTATGTGTTTCATGAAAATGTTAGCTGAGCAGGGTGATAAGTCAAAAAAATAGGGTCATCGAAATGCCTCTCAAATTTAAAAGCTAACAATAATTCACAATATTTTTAAGTTTCAAACATGTCCATATAATTTAGGGTTTTTTATAAGAATATTACTAAAATAAAACTTATTAACATAATTATGACTATTCATTACTACAACGTGGTGATGTAGTAACTTAAGTTCAAAAGTTGAACATGAATTACTATGATTTCATTACTACTCTAGTAACTAATCATATTTTTGTAAATCATCTTTATTTTGGTCATATTTATGTAATTATTTCTATAATTTAACTTTAATTCATATTGACGAAAGAAACTCTACCAACTGGCGAAATTTTTTTAACGGGCTTGCCACGAAAAATAATTCATATACAACTTTAATTTATGTTTGACAAAAGAAATGATATAAATGTTGTGAAATGAAGAAGATGCAGGATATATTTAAGAGATAGATATATTATTAATAAACTCTAAATTACTTCTTAATATTTGAAAGTTTCTGAGTTTCTAAATTGAGTTTACAAAGGATTGAATAAGCCCTATTTATACTAGCCAGGCAAGAGGATGAATCATCTAGGAATGATTCTACACAATTTGCTGGCAATATTAGATCTACCCACTTGTCTAACTATTATTACAAGGATGTGAATTAGATGAGTAGGCTCATTACAAGGATCAGGAGTAGCTTGGTGTCCTAATGACAAGGATGAACAACTCACCTTGTCATCCTCAGGATTTTACAACACTCCCCCTTGAATGTTCATCCTTGAATATGTATTCGTTGTATTAAAATTTATTATGAAAAATTTAAAGTTAAGGGGCAAGGATTACGACTTATAATATCGTTGTATTTGGATGTACTGTCTCATTAAAAACCTTATCAAGAAAAACTCAGTGGGATAAAAACCTGATGAAGGGAAAAAGAGCGCAGTGCATTCGAATACTCCCCCTGAATTTAGCATAAATTACGAAGGCGGCGCATGCCGATTTTTTTGTACAAGTTCCATGAACTTTTTCGAGGGTAATGATTTGGTGAAGAGATCAGCTGGATTTTCACTGGATCTGATTTGTTGAATGTTGATTGTCCCTTCTTTCTCAAGATCATGAGTAGAGAAGAATTTTGGTGATATGTGTCGTTCTATCTCCTTTGATGTAGCCTTCTTTAATTTGGGCTATGCACGCAGTGTTGTCTTCGTAGATCACAGTAGGGTGAACAGTAATAGGCTTCATACCGCATTCATTGTAAATGTGTTGAATCATAGATCGCAGCCACACACATTCTCTTCCAGTTTCATATAGTGCAATTAACTCCGAATGATTTGATGATGTAGCCGTCAATGTTTGCTTCATAGATCTCCATGAGATTGCGGTGTTACCATAAGTAAATACGTACCCGGTTTGTGATTTTGCCTTTTGAGGATCTGATAAGTATCTAGCGTCTGCATATCCGATTAAAGAAGTTGTTGCATCTTTGTGGTAGAATAGGCCGAGATCAATTGTACCACGGAGATAACGGAATATGTGCTTGATCCCGTTCCAATGACGTCTTGTTGGACATGAGCTGTACCTAGCTAATAAATTTACAGAAAATGCAATATCTGGTCTAGTATTATTAGCTAAATACATTAAAGCTCCGATATCACTCAGATATGGTACTTCGGGACCAAGTATTTCTTCGTTGTCTTCTCGTGGACGGAATGGATCATCGTGTATGTTGAGAGATCGAACCACCATTGGTGAAGTCAATGGATGAGCTTTGTCCATATAGAATCTCTTCAAAACTTTCTCGGTGTAATTGGATTGATGGATGAAAATTCCATTCTTCAAATGCTCAATTTGAAGTCTGAGACAAAATTTGGTTCTCCCGAGATCTTTCATTTCAAATTCTTTCATAAGATATTTTGCAGTATTTTCAATTTCATCGGGAGTTCCAATAATGTTTAAGTCATCAACATATACTGCAATTATGGCGAATCCCGAATTTGATCGCCGAATGAAAACACATGGACTAATTGGATCATTCTTATATCCTTCTTTGAGAAGGTATTCACTGAGACGATTATACCACATTCGTCCAGATTGTTTTAGTCCATACAATAACTTTTGTAATTTAATGGAAAACATGTCTCGAGATTTCAAGCTATAAGTTTCAGACATTTTAAATCCACCGGGAACTTTCATGTAAATGTCTGTATCAAGTGAACCATATAGATAGGCGGTCACTACATCCATTAGGCGCATTTGCAGCCTTTCAAAAACAGACATGCCAATGAGAAACCTTAATGTAGTTGCATCAACTACTGGCGAATAGGTTTCTTCATAATCGATTCCCGGCATTTGAGAAAAACCTTGGGCAACAAGTCGGGCTTTATATCTAACAATTTCATTTTTCTCATTGCGTTTACGCACAAATACCCATTTAAAACCCACAGGTTTTACGCCCTTTGGCGTAGGGACTATCGGTCCAAAAACATCACGTTTTTCAAGTGATTTTAATTCAGCCTAAATAGCTTCATTCCATTTTGGCCAATCTTGTCGTTTCCGACATTCTTCAATTGATGTTGGCTCATTGTCATTGTTTTCATTCATAACATTTGTGGTAACGGTGTAACACCGTCCCCAAGTGTAATTAATTTTTTGTAAATATTGTATTTAACCTTATGGAATGGTTAAAGAGTTTACGATGTTATGAATTTTTATTAATTATTTTGCGTGAATAGTAAATTCGCACGTGGGGCCCACACCGGGAGCGGGGACCGCTCGATGTTCCCGGGACCACATAAATTATTCATCTTGGTCTAGATAATATTTATATGGTGGTGGATAACTTGTTTGAGCCAGGGAAAAGTCCAGAGCTGACCGATTGGTCAAAAGAGGCCCAAATACCGGTGTTGGCGATTTAACCGATAAAAGCCCGAAATTGAATTTCGGGGACATACAAATTAAAGTTGGGGTATGAATATTCATTATAAGAGTCATAATGATGGAGAACACATAATATAATTTATTTGACCCGATAAAATAAAATATAATTAAAACAGTCGGAAAAATACAACTTTCGGGACCGGTTGTACACTTCTGGACAAAAAGGGTTGACCTCCCACATGGGTGGGGGCCAACCCACGAATTTGCCACAAGAAAGGGAGCTGATTTGCCTCAAACATGGTCTGAAAACCTTGAGGAGATGGGAGGGACAAGCTTGACATCCTAAGGACCCCATCCTCACTCATTTGGCAAAAAATGCCAAAAAGGAAACCTCACCTCTCTCTCCCTCATCCTCTCTCTCGGCCAGCACCAACCCAAGCAAGACAAGGAGAACCTCCATCCTTCCTTACCCATCCTTGAAGAGAGCTCAACAATAGAGGTACAAGGAGGAAGATTAAAGAGGGAAAAGCTAGGTAAAAGTGTGAAAGATTAAGGTAATGACCTTATCATAACTCTCCTTAACGTTTCTCCTACCATATGAGATATACATCATATGAAGAACCCCTAGGATTGTTCTACATGTTATGAGTGTGGAATAATGGGTTGGAAGGTGGTTCTATGTCCAAAAACGGACATAGAAGCCAAAACGACCAGTTTACCGGAAAATAACCTTTTAGAGGTTATTTTTATTGATTAAGGTTTTATGATGTTAAAACCTTGTTAGGAACTTGATTAAAGTATTTTTTAGCTTCGCCGGAGTTTCGCCGGAGTTGGTCAAAGTTCACCGGAGTTGGTCAAAGTTCGCCGGGATTAGTCAAAGTTCAATCGGGGAGCGTAGAACGCGCGTGAGCTCACTTAAGGTGAGGATGACCGACTATATTGCTTATAATTTTTGGGTTAATTTCATAAGATTTCCTAAATGAATATACAATGTGATTTGCATGGATTGTTAATAGTTATT